GGGCATGGTGGTGTTGGGTTGATGGTTGGACTCGATGATCTTAGAGGTCTTTTCCTTAATGATTCTATGATTCTATGTCCAGCTTGCAAGAGTTCATCTCCTCTGGCTCCTGAGTACCACCTCGCACTGCCAGCCCTCAGCAATAACAGCGTCATGGGGAGGGCTTGCAAACTTTGGGTTTGCACCAACCTGCACCCTGGGTCTTGTGATCTCCACTGGAGGAGATGGGACAAGAGCAGCCCATGTGGAAATGCAGCACTGGAGGTGCTGGGCTTGATTAGTCTTCCTTCTTTTGCAGCCTTCATCCCACTGAACGTCCTAAACCCCTGGTAGATTTCTCCACTGAAGCAAGGAGGGGATCCTTGCCTTTCCATGAGGCACCTGAGCAAAACGCAGTGGATGGCAGCTTACAACTCAACTCATCCATGTCACAGGGGCTGGAAGGCATGTGCCTGTGGAGGTTTGTTCTGGGGGGTAGTCACTGCCTTCCTGCTCCAGGGTGGTTAAACCAGATGCCTTCTGCTGGGTACCTCTCTCCTGAGGACAAAAGGGAAAGCATGGTTAATTAGCAGGAATTATGTGATTGTTAAAACCTGTTCCAGGCAGGTGTGGTCACAAAGCACCCCAAGCAGTTTTGTGCTAAGACTTGAGCCGCTGGTGTCCTGTTCACTGAACAAAGGCTGCGTTTGTTCCTTCTCCAGTGGGGGTGTGCCAAAAAACAGCTCAAACCTTGTAATCCCAGCCTGGGACCTCACCAAGACCTGGGGCTCCAAGCAAGGCTTGCACGTTTGTGGTGGAGGACAGCCCTTTCCCTGGGGAGGTCCCTAACAAAATACTGGCAGGGCAGGGGTAGGAGAAGCAGCCAGGAGGAAGGGGTTTCCTTAAGCGTAGAGTAACCCTTGGGATAATGCCCACGTTTGGGAGCAGACCCCATGGATTGTCCTTGTCCGTAGCACCTATGACCACAGGCGAGCTGCAGCAATCACTGCGAGCGTGGCAAGGGCTGTGCATCATTGGCCGGAGCAGCGCTTCGCTGGGGATGAGGTGAAGGCATTTGATACACATGTCCTTGATACACATGGCCTTTGCTCCCGCCCGCCAGGTTGTGTAAGGCTTGGAACAGAGCACAAGCCAGGTAAACACTTGGGTGCCTTCATGCCAGGTGATTGCCCAAGAAAAGGACGATCCTGTGAGAGATCCTGAGAGCCAGGTATCTTTGAGCAGCTTATGCTGCAACAAGGGTGGCTGTGGCTTCCCATGAGGTTTCACCTGGTGCTCCAAGGATCCTGCCTGCATCCAGACAGCATCTCTAGAAAATAGCACATGGGCAGGAGAAAAAATGAGGGAGGACGGAGAGAGGCTCTCTCTAAGGATGAATCCCAGAGAAGGCATGGAGATGGATTGGAGGTCTCCAGAACACCAAGCTCCAAGGTGTAGTGTAGTGGGGAAGGGGTTAGAGGAGAGATGTCTTTGAGATAGATGCAGTGAGACGTGTTATTGTGTTGCAACTGCTGTACCTAAAAAAGATTTCATGGCAGGCACGGTGAGTTTTTTGGTTGGTTTGTCCTTTGTCTGGGAAGGTGACTGTGGCGAGCTGTGAAGCTGAGGGCGAGCGATACCCTCGGAGCTCCCATCCCTGCTGAAAGGCTGTGGATCAGAACAGCTCCCTAGGGAACGGCAAAACCAACTTTCAGGGCTGGCAGAGGGTTAAGGAGAGCAAAGAGACGCTGTTACATTTGCTCCCCCATGGCAAGGCATTAGCCTCCCCTGGGACGCTCCATCCATCAGCCCCGAACCTAATGGGAACGGTCCTGGAGCCCTTTCCTGGAAGGATTTTTCTCGCAAACAAAAATGGGGAAGAAGGGTGTGGAAAAGCAAATGAAAAATGTATCCTTAGCCGCGTTCAAGAAAAACAAGGGCTGGCCTGGGGAGCGCTCCGACGCAATTAGTGCAGAGCAAATGCGAGGTGAATGCTCTTGTTTACTGCCTCGCTTTATGTAGCTCCAGCTGTGGATTTATTGTCCCCCCACCAGCCGTGGCTGCTGCAGCGCTGCTGGCTGCTCGGGAGGGCTCTGCCCAGCCTCCCGCCCGGGGTGTTTCTCATTTCACGCTTCAAAGATGGTTGAACAATGTAGCTCCACATCAAAGAGCTGAGCGGAGCCGGAGGGATGCGGGAGGAGAGGACGATCTCTGGCCCCACGACCCCCGGCCCCCGGGGGGGGGGGGGGCCCCGGGGGGCCCCCCGCTGCTCCCCAGCCGGGCCAGCGGCACCTCCGGCAAGTTCGGTTCATCCCTGGCTGCCAACGGAGCCGGGAGCCCAGCTGCTGCTCTGCGATCGCGCCGGGTTGTGTGCTCCAGCGGAGATCAGAGGAGTCCCGGGGATGCGCCCTCCCCGAGGCTGAAGGCTGCTTCTGGCCGGTGTGACGCCCGGCTG